TTGCCGCCGCATTCTCTCTTGAATGAATGTCAATAGGGCTTACGTTATATGAGGTGTGGGTTACTTCCGTTGTTGATTTGAACAAGGATGTTGAACTACTGGATTGCCAATTCTGGGATTAAAGGAGAATCCTGATTAGGGTAAGATAAGCAAGTGCAAGATTTAGATGGATGTCGTGAGCTTCTACGAAGTTTAGCGCATCTTCTGTAAAGTCAATGATTATGATCATCTGTACACCCAGCTTTAATCAGACAGTAGTTCCTCCCACAGTGATACAACAATTATACCCAGCTTTAATCAGCAGTAGTTTCCCCGGCTGATACATCAAATAATGCAATCCTAGGTCTTATGGTGGAACACACGAGTGAGTGAGGGTTAATAGCAAGCTAATATGATGCAGGTTCAGAAACCAACGTGCGTGGGCAAAACTTTGCAGGAGTATTAACAGGTTATTTCACCATAGAAGGTTGCAGGGGATACGCATCATTCCCTGAGTTATGAATAAAGGGACATAAGTACTCATTAATGGAAAAAAAATCCGTGATGGTTTCAGTTGCTTTATGCAATGGAAACTACCAATGATACTTGCTGTAAGTTTCCATTTCTGGAAACTAGCGCTGGTTTCCGGCAGTTTCCAGGAAACGGCCGGAAATAAATCAAATCATAGTTTCCATGATCGGAAACCTACATGATTCTTAACATTACCTGTTTTTTTGTGTACATCAATGGTTATGTAGTAGTAGAAGTGCCCACACCAACTGTGGACGGACACAAAACAAACTATAGAATGTGACGACAGATTACAGCTATCTTTGCACTCCGGATATTAATTACACATCTGTACCCGATTGTGGTTCAATCTCTTATTAAATCACGCAATAGAGGAATATATGAATAACGTATTTCACAAGAAGAACCAAGTATATTCCAAGTAGAAGATGGCCTTTTCCTAAATTTCTTGTTTAAACCACGGAGAAGTCAATGCGCCATGGCACCTATTAGTAGACAAATTCAGGAAGTGCCGGATCATTTCGAATCATCATGTCTCTTGTCACACTCAGGCATCCGTCCTGGAACTGACGTTGGAAAGATGCAAGACCAGGGATCATTCAGAAAGCCAACAATTGCCTGTCGACATTATTAAAAGTTTGCCCAAAATAAATGGAAGCCAGTATAAAGATTCACCTGTAAATCTTAAGCATACGAGAGATTTGAATTTTCAACTATTTCTATAATATTTACTAATAACAAAGATAGTAAGGATATACCATTTTACGGGATTAGTTAACATATTAAGGGCGGTCTATATACGTTTATGCGTTTGGACTTTATTTGACAGTTCGGAATTAATTACACAAGTAGAGATGAGTTAGCATTCCCTCATTTGCTCAGCTTTTATGTTCATTTGCTTGATCTTCTGTTTTCAAATCGATCAAAACACATGTTACAATAAAGGCAATTAGGGCTAATGAATCTGATAATATCTTCCATTCATACATTTTATGGAAATGACAGGATGGATGTACATGGTTAGTTAATTATTAATAATATACATATAGAATAGTCCAGACTCTCTCAAACACAATGGCCTTGTAATAACAACATTGTTCTTCTAGAGGGAGTGAATTAGTGGAGTTTAGGTTAGCACTGTAGCAACATTCCAATAAAATCACTCGGGGAATCACATGGAAATTAGCTCACAGATTGTACGCCACTGTGTGGGAGATCGGACCCGGGTCTTCGAGCTGTGACAAGGGAAACGCTTGTACTAAACTACCTAGCGCCACTTTACTCCCTTTAGAATTTCCAGTAACCAATTTGAAAGGAGGGCCAACTTTTATTAAGCCTAGTCCAAAACTGTTCGGACTTATGTCCATCGATTGAAATACGATTTCACAATATTACCGTTCTCCAAATGCTGCAAAACGGCAATGTTTCTTACAATTTTGACAAGAATATCCTGAGCTCTGAAAATGGATAAAGTAGCTATACTTCGTATCCCCAGCGTTTTTTAAACCAAAGGGAAAACATGGATCAAGCGAAACGAATCTTCTAGATAAGCTTCTGTAATCCAGGATAATTGTGACAAACCCAGTCAGCAATATTTCTGAATCATATGGTGAGATATAAATAATTATGCGAGACAAAAAACATAAATGCATCCTAATGTCCAAATGTCAAATAACATTTTAATTGCTAAACAGTAATTATGTTTTTCTGGGTGTTGTTTTATCAGAGCATTGCAGTTATATAGGCCTCTGTTGGATAAAGGGTCAAATGATATATAGCACATGTAAAGAAAAAGTTGATCAGAAATAATAGGAACTAAGAGTGTCATCATAATGTTTAATGTAATGACAAACGTGACGCATCGTGACAGCCGGAACAATGATTTTGTACCTTTGTGAGGCAAACATCAGGAGATAAGTATTTTAAAATTCTAAGAAAAATTCTTAGTTTTTCCTCTAAGATTACCAAAACGAAAATCTAAAAGTAACTCTTAAGAATTATTCGCAAAAGGGTCTAGAGTAACTTTAGCAAGAATGGGAGTTAGTTCTTAAGAAAAAGAAAATAGCTCAGCTGTAGCCATAGGCAAATCCAGGGAATTCCCTTGAGGTTAGTAAATAGCTTTTACGTCATGTTGATGGCAGCGCTTTGCTCTGACATATAAGAAGAGTTGAATAGCAGATAGAACCGAGTTTAGTTTGTTTACGTTCTATTGCAGAAGGAGCTTCTGGACCAAAACTTGAAAGTGCAACCGCAAATCGAGTTATGTTAACCCCAAAATGTGTTTTTTAAATAAATCTATATGTCTGCAAGTTTGTCCTGCGTGCAAACTTTTCAGACGATTAATCTTTAGTTTGTTCATGACGAGAACAAAATGAATGCGAAAAAGAAGGGGAACAGGGAAACCCTAGCATTGTAGTGGAATCAAAGAAAGTAATATGTGTCATGCCAGGAGTAATTCTTAGAGTACAAAGTTTATGAATGTGACTTAACAAATTCTTAACACTTACGTGTAAATATAATGAAATTCTAAGCAATTTGATTGATTTAAGAGTTCTTACCAATTCTAAGAACTTTTATAAATACGGCCCCAGTTGTAAAGACCAACCCCAAAAATGAAAATGACAAACTTATGAAGCACTCGATCATTTAATATCTTTGTGTACCCTCCTCCTTTGCGTCCAGGGACACAGGTGCACTTTTGTTCTCATGCGTCCTGATCAAGGTTCATTGGGAGGAATCTGGTAATCGCTTTCCATTCCTCTACTAGAGCTCTGCGGAGTCCTTGGAGATCCACTGGTGATGTGGTGACGTGTGTGCTACACATCGTCGACGGAGTACATCCCAGGCATGGTCATTTGGGTTGAGGTCTGGCAGGCATGCTGGGTCACTCCATCCCGCTCACACCCCGCTGTCTACACAGAGTTCGTGGCAATCCTGGTCTTAGTAAAGAGATGGCGACCATAAAGGCCATGCGTAGCTTGCAGGAATATGGTACTGCTTTAGGATGGAGCCATTGTATCTCTTATATCCGGCCATGATGTCTACTTCATCTCCAAACGCGCCTGCCTCGCGACATTGGTGTTAAGGGGGTGGACGGAGAACTGCAGGTCCGGCTGCGCTTAAACCGTCCATCTGAATCGGTGCAACCTGCAACATCCTTACATTGTAAACGGTGAAGTGTTCTGGCTGGCGAAGATCGGATTACGATAAAGGAATCTGTTATGTAACGCAGTGTTATCATGTGCCTGGTCATCTCCGGACTGTTGGCGTCTGGGGCGACCACGGGACATGCACATCCCACGGACCGTGAAGTCTCTGCCACGGTCGCTACCAATAGCACTCTGACTCACATCAAAGCGGACAGCAGCCTGGAGCTGGAGAGTTTGAACCAGATTCCAATATAAGCCTATAGCCTAGCACCTTCTCAGCAGAGTGTAAAACGTCTATTTCCTTAATCCTGCGGCATTTCAAACGGAGTTTCTGAACCAGTGAACGGCAGTGACAATGAAAGCGTATCAATGCAATGCGTATTATTCTCCTTTCCTTCAGAGCCGACTTGGCAATCGTTAAGTGGCAGGTGGATTGATATGTTTTGGCAGATTGAACACCAATATGCAAACAGATTGTTCAGGTGATCATGCTGGCACAGTCGGGCTGGTAAGGCTCATCATCAGCTCAGGGCCCCTTGCCCTCTACACTGAGCCCAGACAGCGAACGGGACTGCCTAGGTCGAACCCACCAAGAACTTTCCTGGGAATATGTAGACTCCCCAACACTGCAGCCTTCTGCATTACCTAGAGTGTCAGGAAGGGCTGTACTTCTCGGATGGAGAACCCGGGCACTCGACTCCTGATCTGCGTGGGGAGATTGGGGAGGTACCAAGCCAAGGGCACCGAGAAATCAATGGGGAACCTGACGACAAAGTGTACTTTGGATGCAAGCCCAGGGGACATTTCAAAGCGAGGTCCGCATATTTAGAATGTGTTTCCTGAATCTTGCAATCACGTTGGTGTCAAAAGTGACAATAGAACGTTCAATGATATATAGAATAAATTCGTGAAGACTGATCAAAGGGATGAAAAAAGATCAGGTTGTTGGCTGGAATTCTTCTGAGGCCCTTGTATGTGCCTATTCCAAAAGAAGTTTGAAAGCTTATGAATTTTCCACTTGACGCCCTGGACATGTTAAGGGTCGTACCATGGATGGACCTCAGAGTCGTAAGCCACAGGCATGGCGAAGACATTAATCGAAAAGCTTTACCGAGCCATGCCATCATATCTCTTAAGTTATGCTGTTTATTGCCAAAAAGGGCATCCGCTGACAAGGTGTTGGACAGTCTGTAAATACATTACACAGTCGGCATTTCATGTTAATATATTATCTTGGAGAATCACATTTAGGCGCTTTGAACTGAGTGGGAAGTGTATTATTGTTTTTTATTATTTAATGATATTTATATGGCGGCGCACATATCCCACGCAAATGGGATCATGCTCCAAGGCGCTGGAGTGTTCCTTGATCAACGGATGTCTTTTGTCATTCTAAGCGTTCAGGCACAACTGCATCTCCGCTCCTTCGGGGTTCATCCAACTGTGGACTGCCTGTACAGCCTCGTCCTCACAAGGTAAAACACTTGGAACTGCAGCTGGGTGAACTGGAACTTTATAGTCTTGCAGTACATTGTCCTTGATACTGCACCTTACAATACCCGCGCAACGAGGGTGTCTGTGCACGTGTTCGTGTAATTCACCATCTGGTCACCAATCATCGGATGAGTGGGTTCTTTTTAAGTGCACAGGGTTGTGTACTGCGCACACTAGGGGTTGTGGAGCCTGCAATGTTATTGGCTAAAGTTTTACACCGGTCGCAAGTGGGGATCGATCCCGCCCACCATACCCTACGAATTCCCATGGATTGTCGGTGGTACGACAATTTGCGGAATAATATGTGCCATTTGTAACAGAAAGCATCGGACGCAAAAGAACCGCACAATGATATTTCTCAACGGCCTGATGTATTCGGTACTGTTAATAGAAGTATGTACAACGCAGTTTGAAATTGCAGAATTATTTCAAAACAAAAACTAGATTTTGCACAACTTTGAAGAAATAATGTTACTCAAGCTGGAGCTAGACCTTCATTAATGAAGCCAGGATTGTGTATATAGTCGAGTTTTTCTTACAGCTTGCCACGCTATCAGTAACTGGAGCGGCTCGATCTATTTATACACCTTGCCGCGAGCAAAATAAAAATCACTTTTCAACACGGATTCCTGACAGTGGTCTGGATTTAGTAGTATGACATCTTTTCCAGGTTCAAACACGTCATAATGAGCATAAGGGTCAATCTTGTTCATTTTACATCATATATTATATTGATCCTTACACATAGGATGTTGGCTCACATGCCTAAAAGTATCAATATGTGCCAACCATATGCACAGCCCTTGACATAACAGAGGGTTATCTCAGATAGTGAACGACATTTGCTGAAATACACATATGTCATTTGATCTCGGTTACGAGTCGACATCAGTTCAAATGTGCACCTAAGGCCTGTATAAACCTATTTCATGCATACACGCTTTGGGTTGGTAAAGTATACTCTTTACACATCAATAGTGTAAATCCGCTTTTCGTTGTGTACACAAATACATATAGTGACTGATTGTACCCAAATGCACTTATAGTGACCGATTTTCAAAATCTTCATTTTAAGAAATATACCTGTAACGGTATACCTTTTTCCTATCAGTCAAACTATGTTGCCGTAATTAATTACCTAAATATAATAATGCTTTTGGAATTGATTTTTAACATGGGGGTACAGTGAATTCAAGCAAGACACTGAAAACTTTGATCTAGAGCCTGTTTTTATATTGTATCGTGCTCTATAGTTAAAGTAGTTTAGATAATTTACTAGTTTTAAATATATATCTCTGTGATAGTCTAATTGGTTTAACTGCGCCCTTTGTCGACAGACATTTTAAACTGATAACCTTTGTTTTAATCGCTCTATGGCTGTAATATTGCCTATGCCACTCACTCACTCATCAGAATTATTTGCGTTATCAATCAACTTTCATCGTCCGCTTATCATGATCATGCATACTTGCTTTCCTGATTACTACTAGTAGTAAAGAGTCAAGTATTCCTTTTTTAAATGAATATGTTTCCATAAGGTGTCTCCGAAGGTAAGGCAGGACTTTTGCTGTGAACGTCAACAGTGACGAGCACCTACAACGTCGTTGTTCAGGGAGATGTGGCTGAAGAGCGCCCCCACCTTCTTCCTTCAGAGCTGATGGTTCAAGTGTTCTCCTCTGCTGATGATCTCTGAAGCTGGTCAAGAACACTCAGTCCAGTGGTGAGGACGTCATCGGGCAGTGGGAGGCCAACAGCTTCTAGTACCAGGCAGGGTCCAGTCATATCGAGGCCAGCTTTTCTTTGTACAGTACACACCAGATCCAAGCATTCACCTACAAACAATCCGGCCTTACCGTTCTTGTTGTTCAAACAGGTGAGTAAACATAGCCAAGGGTCATACTTTTCTGCACAAAGGCACCTAAAGGCAAGACCATCATTTTACATACATACATACAAACAAACATTTGTATAGCGCCGATATCCAGCTCCCTGTTCAGCCGCTCCAAGGCGCTTTGTTTTTCCCCTAGCTCACTGGATGTCAATCTCAACTCCCTGGGGATCATACAACTCTTGCAGCCACTAGGCGCACCGAGTTATTGTGGCATTCCCATCCTTACGAGGTACCCATTCACAGCTGGGTTGACTGGGACACATAGTCACAGTACTTTGTCCAAATTCACTGCACGTTGCTGTACCCGCAACTGGGTGTTTGCACGTATTCATGTGGCCACCATCTGGTCATATACCAACGGGTTCGTTGGTTCTTTTAAGTGCACAGGGTTGTGTACTGTACACTAGGGGTTGTGACAACACTGAAAGAGTCTGCACACAAAGTTGACTCCAAAGTTTTTTACACCCGGTCACAGGTGGGCTCGATCCCGTCACCTCAAGCTCGCTGGATCACTAACCTGGCGCCTTAGCCAGTTCGCCCACCGCGCCCCCACATCACATACCTCACACTTACACTTTTAGATTGTGTATGTTTATTTTGTAATTATGACATCCAAATTCACATACTAGTTCTTATTCGTGTGCTTTCCCATCTACATGATAGATGGCCTTAAAGTTTCACCAGTGACCACAACGAGGGCCATGCAGCAGTGTAACATTAATGACATTTATCTGATCAGGTGACTGTTATGCGAAAGATAATTTTCTAGTTCTTTGTGTAATTCCCGAATAAGCTGTGTCTTTCCGAATAAGCTGACAAATTGTAAGCACACTTTTGGTTTTACCAATGACGACAACAGCGTTACATCAATGGAGCAAACAACACCGCCTCCAACAGCAGTGACTTCACCATTTCTGGCTTTCCTGGATTTCTAATTCAAGAGTCAACCATTCCTTTAGGAAAACCTCCACTTGTGCAGGAGAGATGTTTGGGAGCTATGGTCTCATGGCAGGACAGTAAGTACTCTTATGGTAAAATGTTATGATGTTTTTATAACTTGTTGAAAGGACTAGTGCTGGGAATTGGTCAAAATCTCATAATTGATGATTGGCACATTACAACCGATCTATCATCGAAATAATTGGTTAGCGTCATTTATTTAAGTTTCCTGATTATTTTTGTTAATGGACAAAAGAAATCAAGATAAAAAAACCTGTAGTTCTTTGGTGTTTTTGCAAATTGCACAAAAGGCATTGGCAAATTTCACATCTTTAAAGGATGACTTGTAGGTAGGAAAACTAATTTCTTGGGGTCTTGAAGATAAGTTCAACCATGACTTGGAACGAGCTTGTAGTGGTCATGAAATGAAACAGACAAAACCAACCTTGTGAAAAATATTGTTAATGCAAACAAGTGTTCCAGAATTGTTTGCGTTCGATTATGAAAAAACATGATCGATTGCTTGGTCGTTTAGTCACTGCGACCAATCTTCGATTATTTCAATTAATCGGACAACCACTAGAAAGGACCCCTCAAAAAACCCGGTAATGTCAGCTGTTCTGTCAGAAAATGCACATGGTTAATGTCACTATCTAGTCACATATTCTAGTCGATCCGATACCAGATGTTGCATCCCATTTGCATGAAGATGAAATGGTGTTGCTACAACTCCCAAATAACAACTGGACCATCCCTTGCAAGCAACTTAAAGGCAAGGGTTCAAACCTATACATGGATGGGGTGTGGCCTCCTTGCCTTGTCAAAGCTGTCCTTAGATGCAAAGCAATGAAGTATTCAAATACATTCCGTGAAATATAACAAAAGTGACTCACCGGTTGAGGCTGATATTAAGTCATAGTATAAAGAAGTATGTTATGAAGACTCACATCAAAAAGTATGGATTCAGAGAGTCTACAAACCATACATTTTGAAAATATATTTCTCATTTTTAAATCCAGATTTGAATTTCCCCGTGTGTCAGTCAGGTGGCCAGAGGAGGTGCGTTTCCATAGAAACAAGCCTTGTAGTGGGGGAAATGTTTCATTCAGGGTTTCATATTTCAGGCAGGCTGGGAAAATGCCTCCTTCCCCCGCTCCCCTGACACCATGTTGTGCAGGGCTATGGTTGTCCACTCGTCTGATGCTGACATCTCTTTCCGGAAGATTATTTATTCAGAATATATGTAAAATTTGATGTTTAATATATGCTAATCAAATTAATTTCATTAGTCATCATAATATGAAGTGAAAGGGTTGTTGGACAATTACTATAAGGCACATGTTTATTCTAGTAGTAAATTCCAAGGTTAACCTTTGACATCGCCAGGCTCTTGCCAGGCACCCATAGCCGTTACAGCCTTGTCACTCACGGGCTGATAACATCTTCACTGCTGAGGAGTAGCAAATGGGAGACTATTTGGAAGCCCACAGGGGATTAGGACGTTTGCGCCCCGGGCTTTAACGGCGTGTAATATAAAGTTAAATATTGTTATTTCCAACCACTTTCAACTCTTGTATACCTTTTCCCAAGATGGGGACCATCATCATTTAAAATCAACGACGGGATTCAAGGAGGGCCCCTGGCTTTATTTGATCGAGTGAAGACTGCAAACACACTGATTATCTCCCCTGCCAGTCGGTTTATGTCGTCATCAATATGGCGTCAGAACTCCAGCACCGGAGGGGACAATGTCTACTGGGGAACGATGGGAGGAGTTGAAAATGTCCCTGTCGATGTTGAAACCAGTTTTATTCTTTTCTGCGGTAATCAAGGCATTAATAAGGTAACTGTCATTCTCCCTACAAAGAGCACCATCTTGACCGACAAGACCTAAACATTACAAGAGTCTCCGGAACATCTTTCCATTACGTTAAAAAAGCTTGTTAACAAATACATATTTACATTGTGTCCCTAAAGAACCAAGAAAGTTACCTTGGTATAGAAACTTACTTATACTTGCAGGCCTTCGTAAGCTGGGGGCAAATCCTGAAACAATGGCACGGACGTACAGATCAATATGTCAAGTCCGACTTTACGTTAAACTATTTAGCATACGGAACAGACAATGGTGAGGATATTTGGATGTGTATTGATCTGATTTTCAACACTGTATGAACCTATCCTTGAACCAAACGAAGGTACCATATGTCCCTCAGACAAATATTTGTTGATCTTCATAGAATATACATTCTTCAAGTACTGTAACCTGAGATTGGGCCATTGTCATGACACACAACTTTAACATACTGTTGCACACGTTTTCGAATGGAAGTAGCACTCGTTGTAATTCAGACAATGGTAAACACTGCTTGCTTCTGCTAATGAATGGATGTGTGACAGTGCTCGGCATTGCATGATTTCTGAGCGTGTCTGCCCCTCAATGGAACATCTCTTTCATGTGGTGTGTACTCTGGCAAGTGTCTATATTTATAAGTTGCCCTTGCGTTGTCATTATTGTCATGACGTTTATTTCCCAAAACCTTTGCGACCAAAACCATCCGAAAAGAACATGCTGTTTATTCAGGGGCGTATTACTGTTATCGCTCCGAGGACGGAAAGAACTACCAGGACACAGTGTTGGATATCACGAGCTACATGGCAACCTTAGGGGTACCCATCAGGTTAGTGGACTTGCTCATGCTTTAAATAGATATGTTACCAGACGGGATCGATGAACGAAATGTCTTCACCCAAGCATGCTAGGTAAGAGAGAAACATTAAGTTATATCCACTGGTTAATTTTACATGTTGGAATCATTTTCCGAAAAAGTCTCATTTGCATTATGCTTTTAGTGCAGTGATTAACTCTCTTTCTTCCACTTGCTGATTGTTTGCTTTGTGACGAGTGGGGAAATAATCAGAACAATATTCATATTGTTTAACTGCTAAACTATTGGTTCAAATATACTCTTAAAAAAAGAAATTTGACATAGGAACAATTTGAATTTTAGGAAAATACTTGACACAAACCAATCCATGCTGAATCCCACCATGTGGAGGAATGGTTGACAAGACAAAACGTTAAAAAAGAAACACATTGAACAAAAACGTAACGTTACACTCACGTTTGTAGTGAATCGCTAAAACGCAATCAAATGAACGTGCATCATGAAATTGTGTACCACCCCGAGCTGAAGCCTATCTATTCAGGCTTTAAAAAGTCAAATCAACGGTACTCCACATGCATTGCTTTAAGCCACTATAGACGACCAAAAAAAGCCAAGACGGACAGAAGCTCAACGACACAATGCCATCGGCCGCTAACAAGGAGGGGCATCGCAGCATGAGGTCGCAAGGCACTTCGGCGTGTCCAGACAGACTATCCTAAACTTATGGACCTGATACAACAACTCTGGGAGTGTTAATGACGGACCCAGGTCAGGAGTCGACCTACCACCACCGCCCAGGATGGCTACATCCGGTTGACACATCTTCGTTCACGCACCACGACCGCAGGATCCACAACAACCCAAATCCCTCGACTGCGCCGAGTCAGTGACCAGAATGTGCGCATCGGCTACGAGAAGCCAGACTTTCTCCCAGAAGACCAGTTCCTCGTAACACCTTGACTCCGGGTTGAGTGTGTACAATGGTGCAGACAGCGACTGAGATGGCCGCGGGCAAGATGGAGGACAGTTTCCTTCTCAGATGAGTTTGATGGACGTTCACGTGTATACAGACGTCGCAACGAACTTTACGCCGATAGCTGTGTACAGCAGGTTGATAGATTTGGTGGTGGAAGTGTCATTGTGTGAGCAGGTATCCATCGTTATGGCCGGACAACTCTTGTGCACATGGCAGGTGCATTGAATGGGGTTCGCTATAGAGACGAGTTTTTACAACGTCACGTCGTTCCCTTCATCAACGTCAACCGTGGATCATTCCAGCATGACAATGCTCGACCTCACGTTGCACGTGTTTGTCAGGACTTCCTCCCTCCAGCAAAACAACGTTCAGGTGTTACCATGGCCTTCTCGATCACCCGATTTGTCTCCCATTGAACATCTATGGAAAAAAACCTTGATCAACGCTTACGCCAGCGTAATCGGCAACCTAGGACACTACAAGAACTGCACGCAGCACTTCAGCAAGAATTTCAAATCATTCCTCAAGACAGCATTCGGCATCTCATTTCGTTCTATTGGCCGCCGCTGCCTAGCTGTTATCGATGCTCATGATGGTCACATCAGATACTGACATTTTACTCTGACCAAGTGGCTTTAATAGCCATCTGTGGTTTTACCAAACACCTTTTAGATAATCATGTTTTGAATATGTGTAAAGTGAAGATTTTACTGTAATTGAGCAATGATGTCTTGTTTGAATCTGTTATATGATCTCAGTAAATGAAGTCCAAAACAGCATGTCAGGCTTCTTTTTTTGAAGAGTATAGTTTAGGTCGGAATCTTTATTGGGGTATACATGTAGTGGGTACTGCTAAGAGCCATTGTTGCTATTTGCTAGGTACATCCAGAACCACGCATGTGGGTACTTCCTGGACAAGGACCTTGTTGTTTACTTGCCAGGTACATGCAGTATGACGTAACGTGGTACAGTGACCTTCACACTGGAGTTGTCTCGTGGTCGTCTCCACCTGACGTTTTCCCCAATGGACCACAGTGAGGTTTCTTCCTTTATTGAACTGAATTAATACTTTAACACTCTATCAAATTGTCACTCTAATGTTATATGACGTTCCTTCATCAACAATATATGTTGACATAGAAGAGTTATTATTGTGCAAGATAAGTATATGTCCGATCAGGTACGATTTTTTGTATTTTTCAAATCTACTGTCTGCTCATTTGATACATCAATGATTAACACCCATCATTTTGCACCCCTTAATTATCTTGGCCACCATATATATGTATCATACCTAATGTTTTTATTTACCTTAAACCCAAGCTTCATGTATCTAGAAAATATGTACAGTTTCATTAATCGGTATCTGTATCATATATATGTATTATTTCGAGTCTGGTGGATGAAACTAACTGACATGATTTCGTCCTGCTTTACTTCACCCTGTGATGAAGGTGGCTCTATAACAAGACAGAGATACCCGTCTTTGGCTACAACCCGTTCTGGTAAGTCAGGTCAATGAAGAGTCAGCTTTATAGACATGCAATATTTTTTTTTTATTTAAGGACTGTAAACCTCCGTCATATATGAATCAAGAATGATTATAAATACTTGTTGAACAAAACTGAAAAGCAACAAAGACCTAGCCCGGATTAAAACAGTCACATCAGGATTATAAGAAACGATGCCCTTGATGGGTATTTAAGATATGGAATGTTTTTACTAGCAAGTAGCTTTTGCAAACATTATTCCTTTTAATGTAAACATTTATAGTTACTGAAACATGTTCCAGTTAGTTTTGCTACGTCAATATGGTCTGTTTCTAATTGTGTTTTGAATCATTGTGGTTAGGGCCAGCAACACAACCTACGCAAAGGCTAATGGAGGAGAGTATGACTTCCTGATCGATGGTCCAATGTCTCTACCACTGGAAGAGGTACTGACGCTACTGGATATGGCATGTAAATTGGTACAATGAAATACTTTTTCTTCTTCAATCATCATCTGAGATGGGAATTTGATGGGTTGTTCCAAATTCCATTTATGAACTGACGAACCTGTGTTTCTGATTACTTTTCAGAGATTTTGGACTGACTTGCTCGCAGGTGGAAGGACATGGGGATTGATTGCCTACGAACAGGTACCATCTCTAATTACCAAATGTGATAACTATATCAGACCAGAGTACATGCTTGTTTAATTTTGTTTCGTTTCTGTAGGATTACCTCGATGTAGAATTTGAAGGAATCCAAAAGCTCCTGACTGACATTGACCTTGGCCGCCAATGGCTGACTCAGATGGGGAATGGGCCTGCCAAGAACGGGCTTGACCATCCAGTACATGTCTTACCCACGTCATATGCTACAGTCTCTGGAAATACCTGTCGTCACACAGGTGAGAGGGAATAGGGTTTGTATGCGCTGATATTAGCTATGTTTGATCAAGGAGTATAGAATCGGGTGATTGAGTGAGCGAAAAGACGGACAGGTTCAGATATACCGAGTGAGCGAGTGCTACACATGACGTTTTGGGTCATTGAGTTATGTTCCAGCCTGTGTTTTATCTCAGTTGAGTATCCTAATTTTCCTTTGAGTAACCCAAATAGAATTGTACCCACCCCACTCAAAGCTCAATTGGGGTATTTTGTCATTTGTCCATTAGTTGTACAAATATAATAAAGCTTAAATGTTATTTATATTGGATCGGTAATATGGAGAAACAATAAGAAAAGATTGGGTAAGTTGCCAGGTTCATGTTTGAAATAGAACCTCTCAATATGTATCGGTTATTTCATCTATATTACCGGTACGGAAGCTAAGATTTGAAGTTTTGTGTGTACGCATGTAAGATCAAATATATCGAGTATTTACAAAAATTCAAGCGTACTTGTACTCAATAGACCTAATAAGAATTGAGTTTTCACATACATATTTGCGTAGTTTACGCAGATATGCAGCTTATCTATACCTCTGGATTTTGCTAATTTTTGCACCTGCACGGGACATGTTGAAGGAGGATAAATTAGCAATTGAATCGGACATCATTTGTCACATGACTTCCATGAAGCCTGTTGAATTTAACCGAGGCCTTGAATTTTGTAACCTTGATGGAACAACTTCTGAGAAAGAGTCCTTCGATGCACTTTGAAATCGTAGTAAACAGAGTATGTTCAGTTCTATCTCAAATGTTGTAAAATTTAAACAACAAATGGTAGAACTGTGGGAATAAAATGAAATTTCACCATTGAAAAGTTCTGTCCCTCTTATCATGCAGTTTTGAGAGCTTCGATTTATTTTGAAAAAAGGTAGGACAAGACAGCGAATGGTCTCGCTCTATTTCTATTTTATCGGCCTCTTTTTTCTACATCTGGATGTACTCTAGCTACATTGCCTCTCTTCACAATGTTTGGTCGTGATGACGCCACAGAAACAGACAAAATATGGACTTTAATCATCAAAATATTGAAACAAATGAAATGTATGTTTCCGAATGGCGTGCAAACCATGACAACGTACCAGGCACCGACAACTGGAAGATCGGTGTGACATCACTATTTGCATGGACAATTGGCATTGCACCCTTCAAGGATATTTCTGGACGACCAGCGTTCAGCCTGGAAATACTTACGGATATGGTGAAAAACTGGTTCCGAATCCGCATCAATAGTTCATCTTCATTTGTTTCGTTTTTTCTTCTTCCCAGAATGCCTTGTACAGTTGAAAATGTGTAACAGGTATTATACAAAATTATGTTGTAGAAGACTTGGTGAAGAGACACATCATTATATCGTCACTGATTATTGTGTTGCAGAATCCTCGGATCCATACACGGCCCTTAATGCTGTGGTTGCAACCTTAAAGCACCACAGGACCAGTTGGAATCGGTGACATGGTTGGGGGCACACAAACAAGACACTCATCATGAAGTAGGTTGCACGTTCTTTATTTCATCCAACCATCTTCTTAGCCTGTATGTTTCCATATTTATCCATATGTGTTCCTGTAATCATAGTTTGTACTTCTTTATTTATTATTATTACTTCTGTGTTCAGTTTGCTTCGCACATGTGTGTTATCTTTATTTCATATTTTTGATTTTTTTTTGTTACTCCTGCATATGTTATCGATCGCTTCTGTTTTAAAAGTATTCATTTTAATTATATATATACGTGTAGAGAGATTACCACAAGCAAGTGTGTCATATGACTTACACGAAAAGAGTGTGAAATTGTGTATGCTCATAATACTAACATATCACACACTTGCTCGAGTGTGTAATAATTTCTTATTATCCATTTCATTCATGTATATTTGTAAAACACGGTAGAGCAAGTTTGACGGCCCTCTTTTTATTGACGTCACGCTCAATTGTTTAATGACGTGGTTTTGTATTTCTCTTTACACGAATCGGAGTTTTCTACTGAGGATAGTCAGTACGTAGCTATGCGCATTTCATCCTTTTATTAGATAATTCAACTGGGTCGATGCTCAGTTGCATATTTTAGTATGCTGAGTCGGCTACAAAATAGATAGTTAAATACCTGGAAACTCAAATGTGTTGTAAAGAGCAAATTTATTTTCCAAACGTTTTCTTTAGCATATAAGCAATAAAAGATACATGTAATTGCAGACACATGTTGTGAATGCCAGATGTTAACGGTGAGGCGGGGGCTTATATACCTAGTCTTTTTTCTCGGCTGTCATCACTGATTTTACCTTTACCTATGACTTGGATATTCTTTTTACACCGACGTTTTATATTTACTCCTGTTTCATGCTTTCATTGTCTAATTCACGCTCTCTTTGTGAACTGTAGCCAATTACGTTTACTCATATATAATTTGTTTACATATGTTTTTCCTTGTTATCTAATCTATCTTGGTACTCCACGTCTATAGATTTTTCACCGTTGCTTCATCTCTTACATAGATCTGTAAATACTGACGGTCTGATCCTGAAACCATCCTCGACCAGCGACTTCAATTGACAACAGAATACGGAGGTACCTGTACTGTAGCCTTTCTGACTAAATTACACTACTTACAGTCCCCTGTTTGGAGTGAACCTCATGCATATATAGTCAGTTTTGTTGATCCAAGTAGCAGTTCAGTACCAGCAGGGGAGCTGGTTACTCAGGAGGAGGGCTTAAACAGTTCCAGGCAACAAGACTGACTGGGGAGTCGTGCAATATGCCAGTAGAGGTGGTCCAGGTTAGAATATATTGATCTTCAATGGCCCGTATGCTTGTCATAGAGGACGACTAACGGAATCAGGTGAATCAGGCTGTCTGACTTGGTTGACATACATGTCATCGTGGTTCCCAGTTGCGCAGATCGATGCTCATTATTCTGTTGGTCCACTGGACTCTCTGGTCGGGCATCTCGATTATTTAGGAGCCGCCGCGCCATATGACATGTATTGTTGAGTGTGGCGTAAAAACTAACAACACTCACTCACTTACTCCTCCTCCTGCAAATTATTTTAACCAACCTAACAAAGCACCCATCTGCCCGCTATACGCTACCCCTTTGAATACCCTTCAAGTTATACGGCTTTCACAGATTACACTATATAAGCTCGCAATATGATTTAAGCATTTGATGATAACAGGACATTATTAAACTGCTGTTGTTATTGAGTTAGAAGAGGACTTATCAATGGTAAATAACATAAAACTACAGATGTTTAATGATAGACTACAGATAGAAATGACTTGATACAACTGAAAAGCTTCATATTTTGCATGTTTTCATGGAAATGACATAAATACCTTTTACAATGAAGAGTTTATCATTTGTACAACAATGGAATCATCACTACTAAGCAGCTTGGAAATGTTAAATGTTATGTGGTAACGAAGGATTTATGATGACCGAAGGTTAATGCCCACTTAAGAAGTGACATAGAACGAAGCATATTTAACACCCTGAAATGACATCAAATGCCTTTATAGAAAGGAAGGTTTTTGTGTCATGGATGCTTTCCAAGATGGCTTGGATCCCGAGACTTTGGGGTCCTGATGGGGAGGTGTGGTCCACGTATTCAGATTTTGGTGGAAAGAACAAGTGCAGGTATCATCCTCGCTGCAGATCTTCGGAAACTACACCATGGCTGCCTTGCATGGCTGGATGTCAAGGGTGGGACATTACGTTTCTTCTTCCTTATTTCCTGTCACATAGTTCCATGGAGTGCAGTTTCGGTTCATGCCTGTAATTAGTCAGGTGTACTACTGACATGAAAGTGAATATTTCCAGTTTCCTACGTCCATGGTTTCCCAGCCAGCAATCCCAGCAAGATCCAACTATTGACAGACCCCAACCTTTGACAGTGAGTGGCTGTACCATGGCTGACTTCTGTCTCTCTATGTATCGACCTGTACTGAGCATCAATGAGTAGGTGTATTCCTTCATTTCGATCATGCAGATATGGATAAATATCAAAGCTGATCCAATATGCTAAGCACATCAATATTAACTGTGCGATATAAATGAATCTAACATTATGGACAGAAAGGCGAATGTCATTTAAATGCTTGAACGTGATGCAAATTCACAGAAGCTTCTTTATTGCACTTTCATAGGGTCCAGACATTAAAAGGTTTATCTTAATGAAGCAGTGAATTTATTTGAAGTTATCAGGGAAGGTGCCGAAATATCGATGAGTAGACGCGATTCAATTTCTCAGAGCTATGGCTAGATGACCTCCAAGTGATATTAATCCCAAATAGGATGCATTGTAAACAAACTACACAGAATTTGGTTGTACAATGTATATTTTTAGTGCAACTTAAAACAAAAGCATTAATAACTGAACCATATATTTTGTCTGAACAGATGAAGCAGTGGATATCAATGTTTCCTTGCAGCAGACAGAGTTCACAGTTCGAGGTGGAGTTGAACAGGTGGAGTCTTAGGTGTCGCCCCGGAGGAGTTGTGACCATCAACGTGCCGATGACATCGCCGTCGACGAAACCTCACTGGGACTGCCCATTTGAGTGTGTCTCCTTCTTCTGCCAGACGTGGATGAAGTGAATCTTGTAACCTGTGACCGCTGTACCCGGCCTCAGAACAGCGGAATTTGAGCCATTGCAGTTTCTCGAAAACCTTGGGGCACATGTCGTGGTGAAATCGCAATTATGATGCATGTGCGAGAATGGTTTACATACATCTGTTAATCTGATCCATGTCTAGTTTAAGGCAGTAATCACAAGAGTCCATATCACCTAACATCGGTTATTTCAGCAACAGATGAACGACTTAATACAAATGCTGGTGGTACAACTGTATTTGCCATTTGTTCAGTAGTTAATAAAATGTGAGCACGCTGGTCCAATGATGGATGAACGATAATACATGTACCTAAATGTGGTATGGCCAAACGCATATTGACATTTCATTACGGCTATGGATGTGAATAAGGACACATGAGATCTTGAATTGCTTCGAGCTTTGTTACTGGATTGTGAAACGTGTTATTGTAGCTGAATTCGAGATCGGAACCGTGACGAAGCCGGATCGAGATGCTCCGTGCAAGTTGGGGATGGATGAGCGATTGAGATATCAACGGAAGGAGGTTCAGGGTTTGTAGTCTTCTGTAAGAGATCAATGATTGGGATCATCTGTACACCCCGATTTCTTCAGTAGTAGGTTCCCCGGTGATACATCAGAGCAACCAGCTACTAATCAGCAGTTAGGTTTCCCCTCACGGATGATGGCACATCAAGTATGCCAGCTTTACCCAATCGAGCAGTGAGTTCCCCTCACGGTGGGATACATCAGAGTATTGGCTGGCTGTAATCAATGATGAGGTTCCCCTCACGAGTGATTCATCTGAAAATTATGCCGCGAACTGTAATCAACAGTAGAGTTTCGCGCCCACGAGTGATGCGAATCGGAGGATATGCAGCTGAACCAATCGACAGGATTGGTCTCCCTGAGCTTGAAGTGTTACATCAAGTGATGTGCAATTTAATCGAAACAGTAGGTTCTACGCCACGAGGTGATACATCCAGGAGGTTATGCAACTTTAATCAACAGTAGTTCAATCCTTTGAGTGTTACGTCAAATGCCGGGCTTTAATCAACGGGCAGGTTCCCCAGCTGGTGATACATCAAGTATACCCAGCTTTAACGCAAACAGTAGGTTCCCCCACGAGTGATGCATCATATACCCAGCTTTAATCAGACAGTAGTTCCTCCGACGAGTGATACATCAAGTATACCCAGCTGTAATCAACAGGAGGTTCCCTACATACGGAAGTGATACATCAGAGTATACCCAGCTAGTGTAATCAACAGTAGGTTCCTCCGAAGAGAGATTACATCAAGTATATGCCAGCTTTAATCAACAGGAGGTTCCCCACACGATTGATACATCAAGTATACCCAGCTTTAATCAACAGTAGAGTTCCCGACGAGTGATTACATCAAGTATACCCGAGCTTTAATCAACAGGAGGTTCCCACACGATTGATAACATCAAGTATGCCCAGCTTTACCAATGATGTAGTTCACCCAATGAGTGATGCATCAAGTATACCCAGCTTTAATCAACAGTTAGGTTCCTCCCCACGAGATGTTACATCAAGTACACCCAGCTTTAATCAATGGTAGGTTCTCCCACGGGTGTTAAGCATCAAGTACAACCCAGCTTTAATCAACAGTAGTAAATTCCCCACGAGTTGATACAGTCAAGTTATACCCAGCTTTAATCAACAGTAGGTCTCCACGAGTGATGCATCAAGCATACTCAGCTTAATCTATCAGTAGTTTCTCCCACCAGTGATACATCACATACCCAGCTTAATCAACAGTAGGTTTCCCCACGGAGATGATGCATCAGAGTATACCCAGGCATATATGTAATCTGCAGGTAGGTTCCTCCCACGAGTGATGCATCGGTAAAGTATACCCAGCTTTAATCCACAGTAGGGTCCCTCACGAGGATGGCATCAGGAACACCCATAGCTTTGAATCAATCAGCATTGGCTCCCCACACGAGTGGATACATCAGAGTATGTTGCAGCCTTAATCAATAGCAGGTTTACCCACGAGATGATACATCAGAAGTATCCTAGCTTTTAATTAACAGTAGGTTGCTCCACGAGGATACATCAAGTATATACCTAGATTTGAATCCAACAGTAGTTCCTTCCACGAGTTATACGAATCAGGAGTATATATGCCAGCTTTAATCAACAGTAGGTTCCCCCACGAGTGATACATCAAGTATACCAAGCTTTAATCAACAGTAGTTCCTCCCACGAGTGATACATCAAGTATACCCATCTTTAATCAACAGTAGGTTCCCCCCAACGAGTGATGTATCAAGTATACCCAGCTTTAATCAACAGTAGGTTCCCCTCACGAGTGATACATCAAGTAAACCCAGCTTTAATCGACAGTAGGTTCCCCCCACGAGTGATACATCAAGTATACCCATCTTTAATGAACAGGAGTTCCTCCCACGAGTGATTTAGGTATACCCAGCTTTAATCAATAGTAGTTCCTCCCACGAGTTATACATCAAGTATACCCAGCTTTAATCAACAGTAGGTTCCCCCACGAGTGATACATCAAGTATACCCAGCTTTAATCAACAGTAGTTCCTCCCACGAGTGATACATCAAGTATACCCATCTTTAATCAACAGTAGGTTCCCCCCCACGAGTGATGTATCAAGTATACCCAGCTTTAATCCACAGTAGGTTCCCCCACGAGTGATATATCAAGTACACCCAGCTTTAATCAACAGTAGGTTCCCCAACGAGTGACATCATACCTAGCCACGAACAGGAGTTCTCCCACGAGTGATTTAGGGTATACCCAGCTTTAATCAATAGTAGTTCCTCCCACGAGTATATACCCACCTAGTTTTAATCAACAGTAGGGTTCCCCCACGAGGATACATCAAGTATAACCCAGCTTTAACAACAGTAGTTCCTCCCATGAGATACATCAAGTATACCCAGCTTTAATCAACAGTAGGTTCCCCAGAAGTGATACATCAAACATACCCAGCTTTAGCTTTGTCAACAGGGAGTTCCTCCACGAGTGATACATCGAAGTATACCCAGCTTTAATCAACAGGAATTCCTTCAACGAGTGAATGCATCAAGTGATTCCCAGCCAACGCAGCCAGCCCTCGACGAGTGATACATCAAGTATACCAAGCTTTAATCAACAGGTAGGCCTCCCCGCGAGTGATACATCAAGTATACCCAGCTTTACCTCAACAGTAGTTCTTCCGAATGAGTGATACATCAAGTATACAACATGTTTAATTCAACAGTAGGTTCCCGCCACGTAGGTGATGCATCAAGTATATCCCAGGCTTCCCAATCAACAGTAGTTCCGACTCCAGAGATACATCATATACCTAGCTTTTAATCAACAGGAGGTTCCCACACGATTTTATACATCAAGTATACCTAATCCTTACTCTCAACAGTATTCCTCACCACGGTGCGATACATCATATACCCAGACTTTAATCAACAGATAGGTTCCCCCACGAGTGATGGCATCAAGTAGCATGCCAGTTTTAAATCAACAGTAGACACCTCCGACGAGTGATACATCAAGTACTACCTTATACTTGGCAATCTTAGCAGGAGGTTCCCCACACGAGTGATGCTACATCAAGTATACCCATGTTTAATCAACAGTAGTTCCTCCCACGAGTGTTACATCAAGCACTCCAGCTTTAATCAACAGTGAAAGTTCTCCCACGGGTGTTACTATCAAGTACACTGTTCAGCTTTAAGACAGCAACAGTAATCCCTCACGAGTGATCCATCAAGTATACCCAGCTTTAAGTCAACAGTAGGCCCCCAACAAGTTGATGCATCAGAGCAATACCCAGCTTGAGTCTTTAGTAGCTCCTCCCACCAGTGATACATCCAAGTGGCACCCAGCTTTAATCACCAGGTTTCATTACGAGTGATGCATCAGAGTATACCCAGCTTTAATCTAACAGTAGTTCAATCCCACGAGTGATGCATCAAGCATACCCAGCTTTAATCCACAGTAGGGTCCCTCACGAGTGATGCCATCAAGTGATACCCAGCTTTGCTAATCAAGACAGTAGGTTCCCCCACGAGTTGATACATCAAGTATACCCGGGCTTTAATGAACAGTGATAGAGTTCTCCCACGAGATGATGCATCAAGTATACCCAGCTTGAATCAATAGTAGTTCCTCCTGCACAGAGTGATGACATCAAGTATACCTAGCTTTAAACAACAGTAGCCCTCCACGAGATGATACATCAAGTATACCCAGCTTTAATGATCTGTGCAGTTCCTCCCACGAGTGATACATCAAGTGGTACTCAGCTTTAATCAACAGTAGGGTCTCCCACGAGTGATACATCAAGTATACCCAGCTTTAATCACACAGGAGTTCTCTCCCACGAGAGTGATACATCAAGTATACCCAGCTTTAATCAACAGGAGTTCCTCCCAATGAGTGATACATCAAGTATACCAAGCTTTAATCAACAGTAGTTCCTCCCACGAGGATAAGCATCAAGTATACCACAGCTTTAATCAACAGTAGACTGGTTCCTCCACGGAGTGGGTACATCAAGTATACCCAGCTTTAATCGACAGTAGTTTCCTCCTCACGAGGATACATCAAGTATATACCCAGTTTTAATCAACAGTAGGTTCCTCACTAATGAGTGTCAAGAATACCCAGATTTAATCAACAGTAGTTCCTCCTCACGAGGATACATCAATTATACCCAGCTTTAATCAACAGTAGGTTCCCTCCCACGAGTGATACATCAAGTATTCCAAGCTTAATCAACAGTAGTTCCTCCTCCCACGAGTGATAGCATCAGCATACCCAGCTTTAATCAACAGTAGGTTCCCTCCACGAGTGATACATCAGAGTAAACCGTAGCTTTAATCGACAGTAGGTTCCCCACGACATGATATGCCATCAAGTGATGCACACCAGTTAATAGCTTTAATCAACAGTAGGTTCCCTCCACGAGTGATACATCAAGTATACCCAGCTTTTAATCAA